GAATTGACACATAGATGAACGCATGTCTCCTGGATGTTTGAAGCTTGGAATATTAGAAGTAGTAAATTCATAAGTGAGCTTCACACCGCTGGTTGGCTGTGTTTACGGTACGGTACTCACTCTCACGATTATACCACCAAAATCTCCTCGTTCAGCCCAAACAAGGTGCTGTGGTGGATTCCGGCTCTGTAAAAGCAGACCACCATCAAACTTGATTCAAAGTTCAGCGGAAGACGGCGTAAGCAACTGCGACTGCGATACCACGCAGGAACAGAGAGTTGTGGCCGTCTTGGGGCTGGTCACTGGATGTGAAGAGGTCAGGGCTCATAACCTGTAGCGACCTCTGGAGCCGCAGAGGAGTTGCTTGTCGAAGAGAAGGTTAGCTCCGAAAAGGTACGTATACGGAACTGATCAGATTCTAGATCAGATATTTATCTTACTGGAGATCTGACATGGGATCTGAAAATGATTGGTAAGTTCACGCACTTCTTCAGCCTCGAGGCTGCTCGTGCGTTGGTCAGTGGAGAAGATGAATCGAGAGGCAAACGAGGGCGCGTCGGTGGATGCCGAGGTGGAGCCTGCTGAGGGCGCGCCGGAGGATGGCGAAGTGGAGCCAGCTGAGCCGGTCGAGGACGTCATTAGCACTGAGTTGCTGTTCGAGCAAGCTCGACAGCAACTCGCAAATGATGTGGGGTCTGTGCCACGACGTGGTGAGCGGACGACATGCTTCTACAAGGGCTATAAGTACTGCAAGGCATGGTCGTCCTCAAGGCAAATTGTGTACAGATGCTCTAAGTTTCGCCAAGGTTGCAGAGGAAAGCTAGAGTTTACTATTGCATCGATGGCGTATGCTGCTGTAAAGCTGCACACATGCCGCATCGAAGCCATTGCCAACGTCGTCATCAACGTTGAGGACCAGATGAAAGCTCAAGCCGACCTTCTTGCGATTGAGCACGTCGCTTGGCCTGTGCGCCAAGTGTGGGAAGAATTGCGACGCCAGTTCTACTCAGCTGACAATCCCAACGTTGTTCGTGGGTTGTCAGAGCAACAAGTTGTCCGACGAGTACACCGAGCAAGAAGCGCGCATTACTCTAGCAATGTTCACGGCTCTATTGAAATTCCACCGCTTTCATTGGCACTAGACGAGGAGCTTTCCTTTTTCCAGTTTCACTACGTCACCATTAACCGCAACGATTTGAACAAGCCTTCCCGCTTGCTTGGGTGGGCGCATCCATCTCATGGGCGCGCTACTACGCTATCATGGTACACGTTGTTTGGA